AGCCAAAATGAACTAACTGCCGATCCGGAACTAACTGATAGAATAAAGCTAAACACTGAAGAAATTATTCCGGGGATCCAATAATGTCTGACGTCCACTATTTTCAGATTCTTTGGTTAAATATGTAGACAAACAGAATGGAAAGCAATGGAATCACCAATATCCCTAATGGTGGTATATGTCTTTATCAACAGCTGGGAAAATATGGCTTAGAAAACATTTTCTTCTACCTCTAAGATGTGGGGGAGACATGTAGATGATACTTTCACGGTGTTAAAAACAGAACATTTTGTGCAGTTTCCTCAAATATATAAATTCACTAGTGCAGGGAATAAAATTTACATTTGAGCTACAAAATAAACAAGGAGAATTAGCTGTGTTAGATTATAAATTAAAACGAACAGAAGATAACCTATGCACTAGTGGCCATGAAAATCCAATGCCCTCTAGTAGGTACATAGACTTTGAATCATCTTATTCGTCATCTTAAAGGCAAGTCTAGCTAAGTGTTTAAAAAACCGAGGGAAAACGTCAGACAACCTAGATAGTTAGATGAAACAGATAGAAGAACCACCCCATAAAATCCATTATGAAGTTCAAAAAAGGTCACAATAAGAGAAAAACTATACTGTCACACTTACATTTGAGAAAAAAATGTTCACATTACATTTTTACTCAATGAATTGAGTGACCTGAAATGAAATAAGTCAAAATTTTAAAAAATGGATAGATTTGATTCAATGGGTGTATAAATAACTATGTTGGGCTAAATGGACAGAGATGAGCGTATGAAAAAAAAATAGTAAGGCGTTTAACTTTAATTTGTTCAAACAAAATATAAACTCAATTAAAAGCATTTGTTCTTATTGCCTTATTTTTCCTTTGGGATTTCCAAGACGAAACGATGTTGTATTATATGTTCGTAATAAATTGTGGGCTTATTCTAGGCTAAACAATATTCAGTATACTGTCCTATTTGTTGCCAATGCAGGTGACCACAATGCAAAATAATAAGTTTTCCATGAAATTGCTTTGCCTGTTCTTTAGTATGTCTCCGTAAAAAGGTGGTTGAATATACAGCTCACATTTCTCATAACTGTTTTATCGTAACTTAATTGACATCAGACCTGAAAAGAAATGTATACGTATGTAAAGTGAATGTTTCTTAAATATATATATATGTTAGAGAACCATCGAAAACCAGGGAGTACTGGACAGCTGTTTCATCCTAGTTTGAGAGACATCGGCAGCAGTCACCCACTAGGTCTCAGTGGCTAAATGGTACACGAGCTTGCCTTGTAAGCGGAAGGCCCTGGGCTCAAAACCCACTGGATGTGTACTGCTAAATATCCCCAAACTAGGATGCAACAGCTGTCCAGTACTTCCTGGTTTTCAATGGTTCTCTAGCTAATATCAATCTGTGGTCAAAGTCGAAAAACAAGTTTAATCCATACAAAACGATTGATATAAGAATAAAACTTTTGCACTGTAGTGGAGTATAATTCTATGATGGGTGAGATTTATTTTGATAAAGTCTCAGTATTATACAGTAATACTTAGTGATGACGTTTCGAGCACAATTTATTGCTCATAATCATATCAAGGTACTCACACAACTTTCTAACTTCGTTTATATAATTCCATTATTTTCCATCGCTTGATTTGATTGGCAGTAGTATTTTCCATATTTCCGGTATGAGTGATGAGTCATTCTTATTGCACGTGTTGGGTGTAGACTCGATGAACTAGGATTCAGTAATCAACATCTCTCGCTCTCCATCTACCTATATTACTTCTTAGAATTTTAACCCTCTCCCACCCTAGTGTGTGGTTGTGTGTTCATGCATGCAGTGCAATCGCTGAGCTTTTTTCTAAATTACTTATCTTCACGGTGGGGTCAACCATTCTTACCTTAGCTAAAGTCTTATGTTCCGACAATCTGACTACCCCCGAACTACTAGTTTTGACCTCTGTAGTTGACCTCACTCACAGTCATTGCAAGGTATTTTGTAAATTATATTATTTTGTCTAATTGGGTCAACCGACAAGGTCCTTTAACCTACAGAGCTTGTTCCTGAGTGAGTTTGTAGGTTTGAATGCGACGCTAATTCCTGCTTTATTAAGAATCCTATGAAGGGCCTCAGATGTCCACTCCCTACCCTTTTTTAAGACTTTATTATAGTACTCACGCATAAATGCAACCGAGTTCTAACTAAGAAGCTTCACGTTGCCAGGCAAGTTAGTTGACCACTCAGCCACTCCATCTGGAATCCAACGGCCTTTAAATTCTAACTTCTTTCAATTTGTGATATATCGTGACCATAAGCTAATGTCATAGATGAGTATTTGTCTTCGTGCCCAGTTATGTGGACTCAGCTTCTCACTAGAAATTTATTCTGTAGTCAGTCACTAGTAGGCACTGCAAACCATTATTTTAAAATAAAATTAGTACCAATTAATTCTCACACTAAGCATTATCCTGACGATCAATGTACTACTACCTATTCTGTCGAGTTTCTAGAGTGTAATCAGTTGAACCTTTATTCTCCAGTTAGAGTTAGTCCACATAGAACCTTAGACGTTTCACTTGAGCACAGTATTTCAGTGCTATAATGGTCAGCATAATGGCTGTGGAAGTAGTATTGTAACAACAGAAGACAAGGGCCAGGCAACAGAACGTTTATTACGGAAAATCAACACGTATTTATACATTTTGATGTACATTATTGTAGGTTAATGTTAGTAGAAAATACAGTCTGTTGATTGGTTGTTTCTCAAACAAAGTTAACCTTGCATCTCTTGTGGCTGTGTCAGCTCATCTATATGTTAACTGTATTCGCCTGTCCATCTTGACCTTGACCTCAATTACAGTCAACCAATTTGGCTAGCAACCATCTCGCATCACAACACGACTAATATTACTGTCAACCAATTGGCTAGTAGACAGCTCTCACCACAGTATCACATCGTAGTTTTCTTATAAATAGCAAATATTGTAATCGACATTTACACGACAGGTATTCATAATGTAATAATGAGTCACAAATAGCTTGTCTAATTTCCTTAGATGGAAATGCCGAAATCACGAATCCATTATCATTAGTGACTAGCAGATAAAGTTCACATTTGGTCCATAAAACATTATACACCGCAAACAACTACGAAGCTAGTCAATATCTCTTCCGGTCGCTTAGCGTAAGAGTAAAAGAATCCTTACGGTAATAGTAAACTTAGTTTAAAGCATCAGTGACATCTGTTCATGCAAACGTCTCACTTGCATGCCTTACACAGAAGTACTGTAGTCATTATTTCAGCAAATTACTGAAATTATGAGATTTTAAGCTTACAGAAGAGTAAGATTATCAACTCTGAAATCCTCTGACCACCGGGTTATGGCACTGGAAATCGAGGTAAGATCACAACTTTGCTGGTAGATTAAAATGCCGAAAGTGGATTCCTTATCTGAATGTAGGTTTACGTAGCATGTGACAGAATATATATATATATACTAATATACTAGTGAATTTTGAATTTAGGGAAAATCGCCACTAGAACATATAAAAAATCAAAAAAGTGATTCGGCGAAGAGGCTCTTTTCAACGAATTTATATTCAGCCTATATATCTGTATACCTATGTTTATAAATACAGGTTTTTCTAAGAATTCTATTAATTGCAACTAAAAAATAAACACATACATTACAAAATAATTCATGAAATGTATAAAACCGAAGAGGTTTAGAAATAGCAATATTACTAGGCAATTAAAACATTACGCCACTAGATGATAGTTATGACAGGACAACACTGCAGAAAAATTATCTCCAGTTAGGAGTGAGGATGTAGTTCCCACCAGTGTTCGCGCTAAAATCATAAATTGGTAGAAGTTAAAATTCATGGGCCATTAGATTGGGTCCCAATGGCTTCATTAGTAATTGGAAGGTCCTGAGTTCGAAACTCAGTGTGCACGTACTGCCTTTGAGTACCAAAACTAGGATGAAACAGCTGTCCAGTAATCCAGTGCTGGTTTTCAGTGGTTCTTTAACTGATATGAATCTGTGGTCTAACCTGAAAAAGAATAGAATGCCTACAAACTAATTCTAGAGAATTATATAAATTAAGATGACAAGTGTGATATTACCGGAAATATTTCAAAGTTAAATTATTAATAATACCAACTGAAATAATAAAAGAAGGATATACAAGTTGAATAAACAAAACGAAAATTATTAGGGCTAAAGTAAGAATGTTGATTAAAATTGTTTAGCATATATGGGTCAGGATCATGAAATGAGTAGATGAACAGACTTTCTCTTTATAAAAAGTTTTGAATTTTCTGTTTCGATAGCCGAAGCTTCAGAAATACAGATAAGCTGGATATGTGCTGATTTCAAAAGATTATTTTTCGTCCTATTATTAACTTTAAAGGAAGAAGCTGCAGAAATAAAACGATCAGTATTCACCAAATGTTCAATTAATGAGCTTTTTATAGTGCCACTTTCACCTTTTCGTAACCACCCAACCTCTTGAACAAAACCCACGTGGAATAACATACGTACCTAGATCCACATAAAGAGGTGCACTGATAATCACACAGAGTCATTCAATTGCAGGATCTTATCTTTCAGGTTATGGATCACAGATGGTTGACACGATGCTACAGTAGATGTCCTTTTTAGGGACTGTGAGATCCTTCTTCCAAGGATTTTAGCAGCTAAGTTCACTTTGAATTCAAGGTTCATATGCAGCATTATCTTGGTTACAGACGTTACATTTTAGAGTCAAATGTTAGTACAACTACATCCTTTTCGACTACATTAATCATAACTTTTATAGCACACAATTATTTCATTAAATCTATGGTTGTACGTACTGCTTATGACATTTTATATCTCTAAACATTTGTTTACAGATTTGCAACATGAACCCAATACTGTCTCAACAGAATGTTCCCTAAAGTCTAGGCATGAATTTGCCTAGTATGAAGAAATAATGTGCAGCATGTTAAATTCTTATCTCTGCTTTATCAGTTTAATTAATCTACCATATTGCTTAGCTCAAACTGATTGGGATATACGAGCAAATATCATCATTCCATCACAACCATCATCAGGAGGACAGGAAATTGTCTCAAAACACAATGCAGAAAATGAGTTGAAAGCATGGAGAAAAGATAAAAGCGAGATAAATGACTCAAGACCTAGCCGTGAAACAACTGAAAAACAAGATGCGAGTACAGATTGCCTAGAGGCGATAAATAATTGTGAATCACTTAGTGGAATATGTAAAGTCGATGTGGAAATATTTAAGACATTCTGCGGAGACTGGACTGATGGTAAGTCAATTCAACTAATACAGTTACTCTGTATTTTTTTCTCTATTTAACCTGAAATCTAACTGAAGATTGAAGCTACTTTGAAATTAAGAGTTTTCAAGTATTGGTTTTGTAGGGATTTTGTTTGATTGCATGGAGGTTTTCATCATGAGCTGACATCAGCTAGAGAACCACTGGAAAACCTAGGAGGACTGAACAGCCATCTATTTCGCTCTAGTTTGGGACTCTTCATCAGTACGCACTCACCGGGATTCGAAACCAGGACCTTCAAGTTACAAAGCGAGCTCGTATACCATTAAGCCACTGGGACCCGATCCAATGGTCCTTGAATTCTAACTTCTGCCAATTCACGACCTAACGCGACCATTTCGCAATGTCTTCTTCAATGAGTTACTGCCTCATCTTCAACCTGCTGTATCCTACTGGTCATGGCTTCCCGCTAGTTTGTAAAGATACGCCAAGGTGGTTTAGGTAAAATATTGTACATATCATATTTCATGAGAAATCTATCACTTCTAGTTACTACAACTGTTAGATGATTCCTGTAATACTTCAAAACGCAGTTTATTATTATTATTATTGAATAGACGGTAACATCCTATTGAAGATCAAAACAAGTGATTCAGCGAGGAGACTATTTTCAACGAATTTATTATCAAGCTGCACGGTCGTATATATATTATATATATATGATTTTTCTTAAGAAATTATATCCGGTGAGAGAATTAAATCATAGGTGTGAATGCATAAAACAATAATAGTATGAAATCCAATTAAAATGTTTGTGATTATAATCATAGTTGAATGTCAAATGGCTAAAAAATTAATGTCAAATATAGAATAATTCATAGGACGTATAGGACTTGGAAAGGCTGTGCAATTATAGGATTAGTAGGCAAATCAAATCAAATAAAAACGTTACGTAACATTGTGTGAAATTTGATAACATAGAATTTAACGTTGAAAAACAGAATGGATTTAGAATGACAAGTGGAACAAGTGAAATAATACCGGGGACAGTTCAAAGTGAGAGTAGTAATAGTAAAACTTGACGTAATAAAGGAAGAGTATACAAATTGAATAAACAAAACGAAAAATAGGTAGAGCCAAAATCTGATTAGGGAATACCATACTTTAGCATAGAGGGATTAAGACCATGAAAGTTGAACGGGTTGAACAAACATTTTCTCTACACAGAGATCTGGCTTTTCTGTTTTGATAACCATAGCATCAGCAATACAGATGAGTCAGGCACGTAGTGATTTAGGCAAATTGCTGATGAAGAGTCCCAAACTAGGACGAAACAGCTGTCCAGTACTCCCAGGTTTTCCAATGGTTCTCTAACTAATGTCAGCTCGTGATGAAATCCTGTAACCAATCAAATCCCTACAAACCAACACTTGAAAATTACTTTTCGTCTTGCAGATGACTCTAAAGGCTGAGGCTGAAGAGATAGGAGGATCATTATCGACCAGATGTTCAATGATCGAACTTCTTTTTGCTCCCCTTCCACATCTTCGCAGCCATGCAGGAGAGTGCTATTGCACCCTCTTGGTCGAAACTCGAGTCAAACGACCGATATAACCCACCGGATATAATATATATTATATATAATATATATAATTTTACAACTTGATAATAAATTTGTTGACATGGATCTCTTCACTGAATCACTTGTTTTGACATCTAGTTAAGACTGTGCATACGAGATAATAACTTTTCATAGGATCTTTACGACCACTTTACAAGTAGTATGGTTCACAACTATAGTGTTTGACAATTAGTCAGTGATATAAAATAAAAGTGCATATTAATAACTAATTGAATTTTAATATGTCAAGCATTTCATGGTTGGGCAAAGGTTGAGGTCTATGGTTTTCTGTACACATAGTCTGAGATGCACAGGATTAATCCAAAGTGCTTCCATCACCCCTAATAACCTTGAATTAAAGTTATGCGAAACAAGTGAGAAGTAGTCATTAATAACGATTTAGTTAACGGAAATTACAAAATGCTTTGCAATGGATGATGCTGGATTTCTATTTAGATTAAGTATGTTTAGATTTTCTATGTGACTCAATAACCATTTAGAAACATGTTCTTTTCAACTAAATAGGAACATTCTGTTGATCTCGATCACTAATGTGTCCCCACAACTACAAGTGAACTTGTAGATTCAGTATAAAGTATGGTCTATAGAATTTCGTAATTTAATCGTAGGTACAGGACTTGAAAATGTTAGAGGGATAAGGAAAAGCTGACCCAAGCCGTTGAACTGTTAACTGAATGATTGTAGCTTTCCTTGGTGTGGAAACTGTCCCTTCAAGGGGTAGTTTTTTTGTTGTGCTATACAATAAATTTTTCAGGATATTCATTAGCCAATGAAACTGAATGTATGCACTGTAGATTATCCAGTATTGTATCCCTCGTGCGAATTTCACACGCCTCCTGAAAACAGACATTTCATCAGAGGACGTAAGTACTGGATATAAATAAAACTGCTGAAGTGAAAATATTGTTCATTCCATGTTTGCTTGTGAAATACCGATCAATTCATTGTTCCACTGCACCGCTTAGTCAGTGAAATAATCATGAAACCGAATTCGTGATTAAATTCGAATTCTGATGTTACTCAAATATATGGTGGAATAAAAGAGTGGGACTGTTAACTGACTCGCTTTTGTTAACATTTAATCAACAGCACTATCTGTCACTTTGACCGGACATTAGTAACTAGTGTCCAATGAAAGTATCGAATAAATTCCTACTGGAGGTCAGTCGTTAGCCCGAATAGCTCACTGGTAACGTTTCTTACTGCAGCACTGGGTGATGCGGGTTCGAATCTCAGAAGGGAAATGACTTCCCTCAAGGTTGCAGATATGCCTTGCTTGTGAGAGCCAACGAGCACGAAACCTGGGTTTAAGGCTTCCTGTCAATTGATCCAGCCATCTAGCACTATCTGTCAGTTGTTTGGATTGATTCTTGAAAATTCTATCCATTTTATCTTGATAACCAAATTTATTCATGATGACGACATTTTCCTCTTTGTCAGGTTATCTTTTTCAAATAATTCTTACACTGCTTTATAGTGTTCTTTGCATAAACCATTTTTCCTACTTATCTTGGCTTTAAGAAATCGAAGAATAAAATACTAAAAAGTTTAACTTTAGACTAATCCATAATATTCTTACTAGCTGAAGTTAGTTGTGAGACTTGTTTATACAAATTTTCATACTGAGATTTAATTTCATTTTTGTTTATTTTTCAAGGAATGGTTTTGAATTTTTTAATCCATAGGATTCTGGACTCCATGTCAATAAATCAGAGCTTAAATAAAGGTCAAACAGCCTTGTATTAGAAAAATAGAGATTGACGTTTGTGAAAAGTAATATATGTCTAGGTAAAATTGGATAAGCTCAGATTATCACAGAGAAAATATCTCTGAGTAAATTGTAAACTTAAATGTTGACAATATTATTCAAGATAATGCGGACTAGGAAGATATGTAATTAGTAATTTTATGGATTAAAACTAGTAGGCTTCATGTATATAGTCCTTGAAAAATTCTCAATTCTAAAACCAGATGGAGCGGTGACAGAATATTGTACATACTTTATGGGAACGCACTTCTACTGTTTGTAGAATTAGAGTTGTCTAGAACACGCTTAATTATCGGGAATATTGGGTGTACCTTACTCTTACTATCCATCTTAACGTCAGGAGTTAGTGAAGAATATTGAATAATCGTTAAAAAGCCTCTGTTTAACCATTCTGGAAGGTACTCACAGATGTGGACGTCCAAATTCCTTAAGGCAACAGTCAAAGCAGTTAGTCGAAATGATAAATGCAACTAAATATGCCGAGTATAGGTAATTCAGTCTTCAGTGTCATTACTGAATGTTTCCTAATGTAAATGCCCTATGGACATATCTCTGTTGCTTGTGAAGCAGTATCTCACATTACCAACGGTCATTGTCTGTTGGTGTGCTTTCGAGTAAATTTTTTCGGTTAACTAATCTCTGGGAGCTAACCAACTAAAAACCGATTGTGAAACAAATAGGCAGGAAGAAATGGAGATGGATTGGCCATACTCTGAGGAAACCATCAAGTGACATCACTAGACAAGTCATTGCTCGAGTGGAACCCGAAAGGGAAGCGGTCATATGCCTAATATTAATATGTGAGTGCAAAGTCCCAAGTGTAACCTGTCAGAAATAATATTCTTTATACAGTAATCAGTTTTGATATTAGATGGTCGGAGGCCACCTGCAGGAAGTCCTGGATCTTGGCTTAGTTCATTTTGGTACTCGTCAGCAAGCCGTATATGCAATCTTGGAGGAACTCATGTCCCCTTTGAAATTCAAACTGGCATCATCCACTTCTGTAGTCAGAGAAGTTACCAAGATTGACCTTTTACAGTACAGCAGTGAATGCTCATTTTTTGATGCGTCACCGGGAATTGACCAATATCATGCGTCCAGTTCTTCGTCTGGTGCAGAATGAATTATACCACTCAAGTTTTAAAATATTTGTAGGTCATGAGGCCTAAGAATTTAGATATCAAGAGATTTGCAAATTTCAGTATATATATATATATATATATAAGTTAAAGTTTTTCTCAGCTCCATGTGATATTTATTTTATGACAAGTATTTGCTCTAATTTTCTGGATGCTTAGAAAGCAACACTGAGCGTTAACATTCAAGGCGTTTTGTCTAAACGTTTTTCGTTTTCGTGACGTATAACGATAAAAAAACATTCACATTATTTAGAGAATATTATCAAAACGCAGATAATCCAAACAAACCAACCATTATATTTAAGTGAAATGAACGATGAATATAAATAATAAAAATAGTTCAGTATTTAGTGGGCAAAAATATCTTAATGTGTACGATGAAAGAGGTGAACTAAGTGAAAAATATGCGCTTATTTGAATTTAGTGGTTATCAATTTGGCCTATGTATTATAACAGATAATAAAAGCATGTCTATCAGAAATTGGCTAGCATGTAAGGTTTTCAATAATCCATCGGTATCTTTATTGATAAAATTTCTTTATTTTAACAAAAATTGTCTCTTATGATTTCGGTAAAGCAAGCGAAAAGTATTAAGTCGGGTCATTGTTATAGCGTATAAAGGCAGTTTTTAGTTATACACTGTATGATCACTAAAGAATAACCAATGTCGTGCTGTGAGTTTCTTATTGCTGACCAGTTTTAAGCCTATCAGCACTGCGACTTCGATGAGATTTAGACACATTCATTGAAAAAGTCAAAGTTTAGATCTAGACAGGCAAGAGGCACGATTGCACTAGTGACCATGGAACAAGACACCACACGGAAAAAGTAAATTTAGTCCCCCGACTCAACTCTAACCCTCACTTATACCTAATCAACCGTAATATACCCCTAAATAGGTTAAACCGAAACCTAATTTTTATCTTACCCTAATCTGATCTGAAATCAACGAGATATCATTACACTTCACTCAATACTTCACTTACCCTGACTGAGTGTTCCAATATCATTGATGAGTTCGTCCCTACTGTGTGTGTGTGTAATGTCTAACTTCGGCACTAGAAACTTCACTCCATAACTGTAGAATCTAAATGTGATTTATTGAAAAGAATATTTTCAGCTCTTCCTTGATATTGTTTAGATACTCTGGCAATGTAATTTTGTAAATATTTTTCAGAACGGAATCTATTAGGATGTCAACGTAAATACCTAAGAGAATGTCAGTCTGCCTTGAAGACAATGAATCTTGGACGTCCTGGATTAAAACAATGTACATGTGATAGTCGTCCTAGTCGTTCAATCGATGACTTGACTAGATGTAATCTACTCAGAAGAAATCTGAATAAACATCCTTGTCTGGCAGAACCACCGATTTTTCTTCGTGAACCACAAACATCTGTGAATTTCCGATATGATCGCAAGAACGAAGGTGAGTGTGGATGTTATAATTTAAAATTTTTGTAATATATAAATATATATACATCTTTTTGCGATTTTGACCACGGATTGATATCAGTTAGAGAACAACTAGAAACCAGAGAGTACGGGACAGCTGTTTCACCCTAGTTTAGGAATCATCGGCAGTACGCACCTACCACCAGGGTTCGAACCCAGGACCTTCCGGTTACAAGGCAAGCTCGCATGCCATTCAACCACTGGGACTCGATTCAGTGGTCCATGAATTCTATTTCCAGATGGCTTAAAATGTGTAATACGGATTGTATTGTCAGTGATATGGTCCTATGACACTTTATAATCAGACATGGATACATTCACATAATACGAGGTGGATGGGTTTCATGAGTAGATGATAGAAATTTTTATATTCTGGAAATGAATCACAGTAAATACAGAAATAGACTATGATAACAATAAAAAAGCGTGGGAGAACATTTAAAACAGTTGAGGAGCGGCAGCTATAATGTCAAAGTGATACGAAATCCAGTGAAGCCACAAAATTAGGAAAGAGGACTGAAAGCGGTTCGACAACACTGAGTATTTTAGGGATATTCTATTAATTACAGAAACTTTAATGTTACATGAATTATGCTTCATCTAACTGGATGTGTAAGCACACTCTAATAAGGAATATTGAGATTGAAGTGTTCACAGGTATTAAGGAGTGAAATGGCACACTGTCTTATGGAAAATGGGTATATTATGAAGTAGCTAAGCCCACTAAGTTTTGCTGCAACCATCACCATAAAAAAGCTGGACTAAATTCTATATACATAAAAGAAGAAAACTGTTATCCTCGCATTGTCTTGGTAATTATATTTACAGGACAAAATTATGCAATGTTTATTCAGCCTACTGTATCTCTCTTGTCATGTCTAAGTTTTATTTTTCCATCTGAACTTTAATCACCTTATTTCCTTTCTTACCGTAGAACGTTTTTGCATTTATGTAGTCAGTTATGCTAACATACTACTTCTGGTGCAGTGTTATTTCTGTCCGCGTTTTCAAATCAGTATTTTCTACAAGAATATTCATCAAATTATCCTATAAATAGTCAGTCCTTTAAAGGTCTGATTACTACATTTAACTAATCTTGTTAATCCTAGCTTCGCTTACCTATGATCGTTATGAATACATCCTTGTGAACTAGGTTATTTGCACTGAGATGTATGTAGAAGATAAATATACCGCATCCGTTAATTACTGTGTACTGTGACGACGGAAATTCAAGTATTTTGATCTGAATTCAGTAGACGAATCAACAAAACAATAATAATATGATTTATATGATTTACTGCTTTCTTCTATATGGTTTTCTAAATTTCAATGAGACATGTACAGTGAAAGATTATATTCCAACAGTATCAAAACACGTTTAAAGGTCATAAAATATGTGGTGCTATTATACAGTAATCACTTTTATCAAAAACAAATAAAGGTCAACAATACCATGAGGCAGCTATTCGATCCAAAGCTTTTCCAGGTAAAAAATACATGCAGAGAAAATATCTGAGCAAACAAAACAGTTAAATATCCAAGTGTTGGTTTGTAGGGATTTGATTGGTTACAGGATTTCATCATGAGCTGACATTAGTTAGAGAACCATTGGAAAACCTGGAGTACTGACAGCTGTTCATCCTAGTTCGGATTCTTCAGCAGTGCGCACCCACTGGGATTCGAACCCAGGACCTTCTGGTTACAAGGCGAGCTCGTATACCATTAAGCCACTGGGACCCGATCCAATGGCCCATGAATTCTAACTTCTGCTAATTCACGACATAGCGCGACCTCTAGCCAATGTCTTCGGCGAGTTTTCTAAAATATTATAGTGAAATATATAGAATAACATGATATCTGGGAATCAACAAGAACAACCTCCGAAATGAGTCAGTATTCTGTACACAAGGATCAAGGGGAATAAAACATTTCCAGCATATAGTTTGAGGGCAAACAGCCACTCCACAGCCTAACTTTAAGTTCACTCACACAAAAATCGCAACACATATTTTGTTAATAATCCATCATCACACAATAGCAAAGTGAAGCATTAGGAATAAGAATCAACCGAAAACAAAGACATATAATAAACAGTAGGTCAAGAGAAGACGAATAAATTCTGGACTAATGATATACAGGTCAAGGATAAAGGATAATAACCACAAAATTACTTGAAAGGCTTAAATGAACACCATTGTGATAAATAGATTGTTCACAAGGGTTTTTCAGATCAATCATCCTACTAAAAGTACAGAAACTAGGAATTTTTTCAGCTACATTTTCACTTATACAAAGGTTTACAATCAACACTATCCCGTAATATTGAGCCATTCGGTGAACACTTGACACTGTCTCACTCAGCGTTGGAAACTAATTGCTTGAAAACTTATAAGATTTGTATAACTCTTATAGCTTCATTGCAAAAACCGCAAAATATCTATCGCATTTTTAAGTTTTAAACTATAATTAACGTGCCCGCTTGTCGATCTTCCAAGAAGTGATAGTGTGTGGTATACATATGCTAGTCAGTAACACTGGAAAGACTAAAATTTAAACATTTTCTCCCTAGGTTTTAAGTTTCAATTAAAATCTAAAGCACAAGAGATGTATGTACAGAAAAAAAATTTCTCACCTTATCTGAAAAGTGATCACTTGGGAAAAGAACTTTTGTATAATCAGGTCAAATTTTTAAAGTGGAAAACATGCCTAGCTTAAAAATAAAGAGACTGTTTATTCATTACTATTATTTTCCTAAATATAAGCTCTATTTACAAATAATTAAGTTAATTGCTATATTCTAAAACTATATCTGTTGATATCGCTCTTGTAAGACCCTAAAACTGTCTCTTTTTGATAAAATAGTTTCTGTTTTGAATTATTGCGAGCTCTGTTTGTAAGTTTAAATGCATTCTCAGTAGCAAGTACAATGAAGGACAGAAATAAGGGTTTCTGTTGGGTTTTCTAATCATATTCGAAGAAATTTGCGCCTGAAAGGAAGTAGATATTCACAAAGTTTAATTATCAGACACCTTGCGGACTAAGTAAACTTTGTTTAGATCTAAAAATCGTTCAAAATATTAAATGTTCAAGGAACACTAACTTTACCATAGTTTGCCAAAGCCATTGCTACCAGAAGTTTTCCACCTAGCCTAAACATATGCATTTGTTGAGATTCAAGGAGTGATTAAAAGTGCAAATACGTGTAACAACTAAAACTGAAGTGTTTCAATCTGAGCGCATTCTTCTGTATAGCTAAACAAGCTTCCACATGTGCCTCACAGTGCCGAAAATGACCCGATTGTAAGAAAAGAGCAGTCACATATGATAAAATCTGCCCTTCTGTTTTTGCCATAATAACATGAGAAACTCGAAATTACATCAAAATGCCGTTAGGTAGCTATACAGCCTAAGACTCTCACAGGTACAAGTTCTGTATAACAAAATTAGTTAAGCAAAAAAACTGTAACAAATGTGTGAGAATCATATGGAATTTCCCTGAAAAGTTGGGATCAAAACTCTGTTGGCAGGAATGAAACACATAAAAACGCGTTTGCCGCTAGCTTACAAAGGTCAAATAGTCCCCAAGGCTTAGCCCTGGATTCGTGCAAATAAAATCGCAATTAGAAAACAGCATGTTATCTTCAACAGTCCACCACCACCCAGTAGAAGTAGTAGTAGAAAGAATCAGCCACAATCAAAGACCGATAATAATGACTGAATCAAAAGATATGTTCACGTTAGAATGATGACAAACATATTCAGGGAAAAAGGAGTTATAATTGCATAATTAGGTGAAATATTCCAGTAAGCATCAATATTGCAAATAGATTGTTCAGGAGGGATTTTAGATCGATTATCCTGCTACACTATATGTCTCCATAAAACGCAGCATAACTTACTACAATTCATGAGATAAGTGATCCACCTACTTTATGTGTCCGCTGCTCCATTCTATTCGAGATTTTACTTCGTTACCTAAAACATAATCTGAAGAGAATATTTTTGAAAAATTACTGACCACCACTGTATAACCAACAAACCGCAACAACAACCAGCACCAGTCACCATCAACTGGAGAGATTTAACAGAGGTTACCTCCTTCACTTATCTAGAAAGCATCGCTTAAACTATAGGCAGTCGAAACGAACGAAGATGTCAAAGAATCGGAAAGGCAAGATACCCCTTCATCAACCTGAAACTAGTTTAGAAATCTTCTGCACTCAGCATAAGGAACAAGATTCGCATTTTCAGCATTAATGTGAAGTCGGTCCTCCTATACGAGTCAGAAACTTGCACTGCGTGTCACGAGAAGGATTTCTAACAGTTTGCAGACTTTTATCAACAGCTGCCCACTTCGCTCCATACTGAAGATCGAATTGCCAGAAAGAATTAGTAACCGGAATCTCTGGCTGTCAACAAACTAACCAAGAGCTGATCGCCCAACAAATGTGTGGGGGAAAGTGGAGATGGATCGGGCATACATTTAGGAGGCCACCGAATGACATCGCGCACCAGGTCATTGCTTGAGTGAGATCCGAATAGGAAGAAACGAGTGGGTTGTCAAATCGAGGTTGACATGGAGGAGATCATGTGAAGAAGAGATGACAGATTTTGGGTAATCGTAGATTCAGTTGAAAGGGAAGGTAGAAATAGAAAAGAGTGGAGATGTGTTGTTGAATCCCAATGTTCCACTCGGAACTCAAGGGAACAATAATAATATAATAATATTGTATCACGTATCATAACTGTACTGAAATGTCTGCATAAAGTTGGTTAAAGTACCCCAGCAATTACTCTTTCATGTGCTAAACCAGTCCTATAGGTGATAACAAAGTAAGCAATTAAGATACGCACAAAGAACAAAAGAACTTTTACCTCTATTAACGAAATATCCGAAAATAGTAATAAAAGAGCTTTCTCTTTCTCACGCGTCTGGAAAAAGTAAAATGAGTAAATTCATTTTGTCAATGATTTCAGAATAGTCACTGCTAATAATTCTATACGTGAAACTGTATTATACTGCTAATAATCTGGTAAACCATATACCAACCCCGGATATTCAAACAGGAAGTAACAGCAAGACATATGCGCACTTACTACATTCCTGTTACATGAGCACTATGGAAATTTGTCCTTATTGTAACTAATAGTGACTTGTTATGCATGCGTTTACATAGTTGTATGCCAGTGGCATGACATCATATATATATATATGAAGGGAAATGTAATTTTCCAATGGACATTAGTTATCTAATATATTTTCCGCAGTTATTTTAATTATAGTTTATCTCATCAGTAGAATATTAGGCGTATCATTTTGATAAGATTAGTGACCCAGTTAGCAGAAAACCAGCACCAAGTCGTTCATTCATTTTCATTGTAGAACAATTTAGAATAAATTAGAGAGGAGTAGAAGTTTTCACGAACGTGCCCTTTGCTCCCAGCTGTTCAATAACTCTGTCTTTATTCAGTAAAAAACCAATGTTTACCTGATAGTCATCACTTTACGAAACTCGTCCTGAAATCATTAGTTATGATAATTTATTAGGCCTTACTGAAGACAGTATCACCATAAACTCAGAATATCCATTGCCGATATAAGTGCTTAACGGGACACCATTATGCTTTCCGACCAAAGTACAACGAAATCTTTGAAACTCAGGGAATTTTAGCGATTTCAAAACTATCCATGTTAAATGCAAATTAACAGTTTTGAATGCGAATTTATCAAGGAGCCTTTGAGTATCTTACTCTGTTTTCCTAAATTCACAGACCTCAGAATATGAATATTTTTAAAATCTTTTGTACAATTTCCTGTAGATAAGGCGAGTATCAACTTATAAAATTATGAACTTGATATATTTTCAGGACTTCGTATCCATGTATTACTGAATTTTATGACTCTTTTGTCAAATGTCGACCATTCCTATTTGGCTATTCATTTTTTAAAATTTCATTGCACTGCGAGTGGAAAGTAGGGCTATGTGCGAGGTGGGGCCTAACCTTCTCCTCTTTCCAGGCTCACAGCCGACTAGTAAACTATATCAGGTTTCGGAGGTGCGAGAAGCCTGCCTCGGACCACGTGTGTGGTTGGCGAGAATTCTACCAATGAACTACCAACCCGGAGGTTATTTGAATAGACTGCATTGAATGTGTCTCGATTCTAGTTAACGCATTATTTGAATGACATGTTAAAATGTCTTATACTATCAGTCTGAGAATGCATTTACTAGAGTAACTTGGTCAGTTTGATTCCAAATTAGCAAATTATTTTTAAGAGAAAGCAAGCTGCCAACTTATTTGATAACACACCACACAAAAACAATGAATTCGTAATGACACCAACTTTTTGAAATACGGAGAATATTGTGTTCAGAGAACTGCCTGGGTGATTCATTCTAGAGTTTATTGGCTTTCTAATGACAGATTAATATTTTCTTTCCTTGCGTCGGTGGCACAGCGGTTAGGACTCTCGCCGACTATGCACATAGTCCGGGGTTCGATCCCCTGCTGATGCACACCTGATATCAATGGTCAACCTGCAAAATTTGGGCTACAGATATCACATGCTGAAAATTCCATACTTGCACCGAAAATGCGGTGTGGAATCAAGCTGTAATCAGAAATATAAAAAATTAAAAAATAGCTATTTGTAGTTTTTACAATCTGTTTCAAACAGTTTCGTCTTATGACCTATATTTCCTATTTATTCTACTTTAAAGCGTGGGTTTGTGGAGATTTTACTAGGTTTTATCTCTCAAACTTGGATTCTTATATCTGGACATCTAGAACCAGAAGGTCATGTGTTACTTTCATTGATGTGTATTTTTCACACTGTTTACGGACAATAAAGCGACCCAAAATATAATGTTGGTAATTTATAAGGTAGTTTTAATTCTGAATGATTTGAAGAGTGCATAGGAAGCGTATTCACTGACACTCCTTATGCGGCAAAAAAAAGCTGTATAATAATAACGTATAAACGCCTTCTTATAAACATCAATGGGTCAACTTTGAAATGTACCACTCAAATTCCAAAGTTGATGATTCTTCGCAATTCTGTATTCCGCTACATACTACCATGTTCCTGCTTTCATGATTCGTTATGATGAACACATCCCATTTAGCCACTGGATCTAGGATGGGATGGAAATACCTCCCTAGCTATCTCAGTCTCTTCGACTAAGAGAAAATAACAGCACCATAAACAGTAAAATATGCTATAAACCTTCTGTATAAATTCATTAATGAACTTTCCTAACTTACATAGAAAATAAAGATATTTTGTAAGATAAACATTTACCTTTACACTGTATTGTTCTTATTGAAATATTAGTGAGAACAGAACACAGCGCCAATACATCAAAGACAATGCTGAATTCCAACAAAGTATGGATAAATTTAACTTCACAGCCAAATAAAACTGAAAATCTGTTCAAAGAAGAAATTACTACATCATCGCCTGACACTTCAACCAACTTATCTTCAACAGGATTCACTGAAACCAGTTTAAACAAAAACTATATCGACGAAAATCCAGAGAATCCAAGTTGTTTGTATCTACTTGAAAGATGTACTAAACAGCCAGCATGTACAAGAGCATTGAATAAATTTCGTGCATTATGCACCATGAGAACATGTGATAAATTAAGGTAAGCAGAGTGTCAATTGAATATTTTTGGTATGAGTTATATGAACATTACAGAAATCTGAGGTGTCCGTCAACTTTATTTTTACCTGTGAGACTGGTTTACCTTAGTGAAAAGTTAGACTTATTATTCAAATGTTGACAAGGGCATTCTCTTTACTAATAAGCACATCAATATTCTGTATGGAAATTTTTCACTTATAAAATCTTCAATGATAAATAGAATTCCCTACCGTAATACGTATTTCATGCTGAAGAAGCTAAATCCTTTTATCAAGAATTGACTTCAATTAGGGAACCATTGAAAAATAGGGAACACTAAACAGCTGTCAAAAACCTGTTTGAAACTTTTCAGCAGTAGGCAGCCACAACAGTACTAGGGATGGATGGAGCTCAGAATCTTCAGGCCACAAAATGTTACTGGAAAAGACACTTAAGTTGAGGGTTAGGATGAAAAACACTTTTCACTGTGTACTTTTAGTAAATGCATACGCTTGAGTATTTCTTGTTCATCATGGAAAAAGTATCATCCTCAGTTTTGCGATTTTAGAAGGATGGAGTAAGTTTAACTGTATTTTATTCTGACAAATTATTTACATCTTGGACTTTACTGTATATAGCGGAATCGTTTATTGGTTTTTATTGTTTCTGACGAAAGGTTAACTTTAAACCACTGGGACACTATTTAATGACCAGCACATGAATTTTAATTTATACCAATTCGTGATTTTAGCGTGACCACCGAACGTTAGCATCGGTGGGAACTTCATCCTCACTGCCAACTAGATGGACCTCACTGGTCACGAATTGTTACTAGACATCCAGGAAACCATTTTCGGTAACGAATCATCAGCGAGCATCAGACTAATTTAAAAGAGTTGAGTTGTAAGGATTTGATTTGTTTCTCTAGTTTTACCACGGATTGATATCAGTTAGAGAACCACTGAAAACCAGGGAGTCCTGGGAATCGTTGGCAATAAGCATCCATCCTTCCATTTGCAAGTGAAGCTCGTATACTATTCCTCCCCCGAGACCCTATTCGATGGCCCATGGATTCTAGCTTCTACTAATTCGTGATTTTAGCGCAACCACCAAATATATTTCTAAAGACTTACACAAATAAAAGTTCAATAATTGCGGTTTTGCTTGTTCAAGGACTCAGGGTGAAAAACAATGTCTTCTAAATATCACTTCGGATTTGTTCTTCTTTGCATGTTTTCCAAAAAGTTATATCTTTAAGTGCCATTTCATACGCTCGTAAGTGTTGAAAATGTTCTGCTTCAATAATGACTTTTTCGCTATTAACTTGCTTTGAAATGACGTTTTGAACCCAATGTATTAATTAACAAAGCAGGATTTGTACGAAAAATCACATTCAAGTTAACTTATTTGGTATGAATGTTATTACTGCTTTTATATACTTTAGATTACAGTGTTTGGAAGCGTCTAGAAAATTTTTTCAGTTCAAAACTCATGCTGATTGTAGCTGCCAAAGTGAAATAAATGAAGACAGGTATCGACGGTGTTTGGACTATAAACAGACAGTAATTGATAATCAGTGCGTCGGTAAGTCCCAGCAGTTGTACTATCATAAATTAGTAATGTGAGCGCCTATTCTTTTAAAAATATTTTCAATATCCAAGTGTTAAGCGCTTGTTTTAGATTATATGAAAAGAGGAATTTGTTCAAAAGGAATGAAATTTTCGTTTATTTAAGGTGAATTAATTCCTTCAGCATACTAATGGTAGTTCATTTTCTAGGACTATGGAGAATTCGTGTTTTTAACGTTATTCTTGAAAAGTTATTGTAGTGTAGAAAGTTTCCACCATAAACAATTTACGTCTGTCCTTGATGAAAAAACTACTATTATAGTAGTGATGAGTGTCACCAGCAGATTCTCAGCAGTTAACCTAGCTTAAAGAAGATCTTGAAACGGATTGTTGCAGGGTGCCGCTTAACGAAAGGAAGGTGGAAAACGAAACCACAGCTGACAGTTTACACGAACTCCTCAAAAGTCATGCCGTTATTTGTGCAGGTTTCATATTAGATACATGGCCAATGAAGGTATATTTTACGTCTAAAATTTTTCGGTCGGAACAAAAACGTGCACCCTATAGGCACCTCGTTTCAAAGTATAACATCGAACTTGAACTCTTCAAATCCAGTCTACGCAATCATAGTAATCATTATAAAAATAACAAGTGTAATCATATAATAGTCCTTGTAAGGAGCACAGAGGAGCATAAAATTAATTAGGTGATAACCAAATATTGTGGTTGTGCAGCCCACAACTCTGAAGTGCAGAAATCTAGAGAAGTTCTAAGAATAAATTTCATACATATGAAAATCACTTCATCATTCTCTGGCTAAGTTAACTATTTAAAAACATTTAGGGAAATACGTTACAGTGGCATTTTTGAATTCGTAGATAAAGTTACCGTCCCCCGGGAGATAAGAAAAATATCTGTGGATACATTGTCACCAGTCACAAATGCAATCGTAATTCAAATGGTCATTGAGATACGTGAACAGGTAAATGAAAAGTTGTCAAATACTGTCATCTTCAAAAGAATAACCTTGTTAGTTTATGATTAACTTGAAATTCAAATCGAACATTGAACATTACAAGCTGATGTACAAAGTGTTATTATGCCCCTCATTAGATCCTGACTGAACTAGAAAAGAATTTCTCGAAATATCTCTATATGATACTGACATATAGTGACAGACGCATGGTTCTTGAAAAAATCTTGGAAAAGTTCGCTCATTTCGTTCATTAGTATCACACCATAAGAATCAGTTGTGAGAAGGAATATAAAGGGGGTAATTTTCCACACAAATCTATGTTTGCCTAAATTACATAATAGAAGTTCACGAATGCGTAATGTACAAATACTCTGAGCTTCCTTATCCTTTATTACGAAGTAAATCACGGGAGAGGCATATTTTAACAGAATGTGATATGTTCGTAAGGGCGCATATTATTATGAGACTGGGAAATAAATGCGTGGCATCATGGACCAAGAAGTTATTAAGTGTGAATACAATTTAAACGTTGTATAGCCAGCAAAGTGCTAACGAAACATTTAGAAAGCTGATTCAGACTAGTTTCAGTAACTGCAAAATGTAACTTATTTCTGCAGCACCAAGTTGTAATACTGTCTCTGAAAGATGGAACACGTACACTAGCCATATTTTTCAACTGTTGTCTCATCAGCTGTGCCTTGGAGCTAGTTACGTTTATCAGCTCCATAAAGCAACTAGAGATCATTTAAGTTTTGGTTTACATGGATTTGATTTGATTGGTCGCAAAATTTTATCATCAATTAACATAGATTAAAGAACCATGGGAAATCCTGGGAGTACTGAAAAGCTGTTTAGTCGGACAATTTTGAGACTCTTCACCAGTATGCATCCACCTTTGGGTTCGAACCCTGGACCTTCCGGTTGAAAGGCGATCTAATAGACTATTAGGCCACTGGGGCCCAATCGAATGGCCCATCAGTTCCAACTTACACTAGCGACTGACCCGACAGGTAGGCAGTTACCTGGGTTATAGTGAGAAGTCATGAGCAGTGGATCACAGGTCAGGTGAGAGGGCCAATGCTCGCCGATGACATTAGCTAGTTGTGGCGCTATGTTGTGAATCGGAAGGAGTTGGAATCCACGCACTGGCCTACTGGATCGATTCCCAGGGGTTTAATGGTATACGAGGTTGCCTTGTAACCGGAGGGTCCTGGGTTCAAACTTCACAGGTGGGTGTATATTGATGAAGAGTCCCAAACCAGTCTGAGAAAACAAATACCAGGTACTCCCATGTTCTAAATGTCTCTCTAACCGATGTTAGTTTATGACAAAATTATATAACTGAAGGTAGATTAGTTGTTTCTTATTGTTCATTATCAACCTAACAAAGTGACACAAACCACTAGTTACAGAAGCCGTGGTAAATTGCTTTGACCAGCCGGTAAATGTAGCCTACTACTACTACTACTCTGAGTTAGTGTGAAACCCTTATTATACTAACTCTGAGGTGTGAATTCTTGACTACATACATACATTCTTATGTGCAGTTGTCTTAATCAAGTTTACCTGACTCGCTTATCTTTATATCTTTACAAATAAACCATTTATTTTCCCTAACTAAAATAAATTAGAATTCACAAGTTATTGAATCCCACTCATTAGGCCATCCAGTGACCTGCTAGCCCTTAGATCACAATATCCTGGATTCGCTGTCTGGTATCGGCATAGATGCTCATAGTCAAAGATTCACAAAGTGGGATGAACTAGCTATCTCACAATGATAACAGTTAGCAACGAAGTTTGCCTAGCATTATCTTAGACGTTGATACGCTTCAATCGCTTACATACTTTAGTGTATACTGAGCATTTCCCATACATTCTTGTTTCATTTTCGACATTAAAATCCATTCACAAGAACATTCTAACCAAAATAAAATCCATTTTAAATAGCAATTACGAACATTTATTAGCATAGAATTCACAATGACTGTTAGTAAATTACTCGTTACTAAACTCCCTAAGATATTCAACGAGACGTGTGTACACATATTATCACAAGATTACATGTTATACATAATATCTTAGTAACGCTTGTCTTGAGTAATCCCATTCACACAATCCATGCAAAAAATTCTCGCAACTTTTGATCTCAGTAATTCCTTTTTATTACTAAATAATTATTACTTCAGTAATATGGAAACATATTTTTAGGTTCTAAGGCAGTTATTAAGATATTCATTATACCTGTCTCTTTAAGCATAGTGTCCTTCTTGTCCGTGGAAAGTAATTACATATTACATACTATAATTACCCATTTCTTAACGATTTTGCTTACTACCTATGTTCATTGAAAAAAAGCTTGAGTTGTTTCATCCAAATAACTAGTTTTATCATTTCTTTTTCATCCTTTTTTTAAAAGAAATTTCATCAGGCGAGAACTTAAACCCAACGAATTTTAATGATTTGGAATACTTGTCTGTTAGTCAAAATCAAGAAAGAATCCCAACGAATGCACCTGTTTTGCCTGTTCATCAGTTTACTAACCCCATAAAAAGTGATATCAATTCAACTTATTTAACGAATGAAAAGTTGAAAGCTGTTACTCCCCCTACGGACTTGACAAATAATAACGTTCATAAGAAAGTACAAAGTTTGATTATTAGCCCGTCAACGATTGTTAATGAGATGTGGAGTAAGTAACACAAATTGATTTCGCCGATAACTTTAGCTCTATATAAGCTGTTAAACCCTTTTATTTTTATTGCCATTATAATAAAGATTATGTTGGCAGTTGGTGAATTCCACTATGGAGAAGGAGTTTTAGCAGATCAAATCATTCAGTCTAGATTCACTTCCAAAGGTGAACAAAATTACATTTTTACTTAACACCTTTCATAACTTCCTATTCTCACCGTCGTTATAAACGGTGACAATGGAAAACTTATTTAGGCCTCTGAAGTGGAGATAAGAGTAAGACAAGGCTGAAGTGAAGCTTTTGCTCATCGTGGTGGAATGGATCATGCAGCAGACCATGTGCAGCGATAAGATGAGAATACGTTGGACTGACAAGGAGATTGTAGATGATTTCCACTTCTTGGATGATTTTTATTTGCTGTTGAACAGACGCGAAGATCTGCAGGTGAAAATCAACGAGTTAGCAGGGGTGATGAAAATACTCAATCAACAAAAGGCATCAATCATTACTGACGGGATAAATATGAAAGAAAACACTTCTCTTACTTTTTCAGGCAGCATCTTTGTGACTGCAGGCGGCACGGATAAAGTTGTCAAAGCTGAGACTGGAAAGGCAAGACATACTCGCGCGTTGCCAAAACATCCCTGATAAGCTGCAGACTTTCAGCAACAGCTGCCTTCACTCCATACCAAAGACCGAATGGCTAGTCAGAAAATATGATCAACAAGGAATCTCTGCCAACGAACCAAAGAAGAAACTGTCGCCTTCTACATAGGTAGAAGAAAGTGGAGGTGATTCGGAAACACACTGACGACACTATCTAGTGGTGTAACTTACTGGGAAGTCCTTCGAATAGAATGCCAGTCGGAAATGACAGGTTGCGCGTCCATCTGTAACACAGAGTTGATCGTCTGGGGAAGAGATCAGACCTTATGAGCAATCGTGGAACTAGCGAATGAGGAATAGAGAGAATGGAGTTAAATGGCGGTAAGTGTCAAAGCACTCTGTTCCACCAGGAATCTAAGGGGATAAGAATAACAATTGTATAAACTGTACACTCTTTAGCTGCACTTTGAATAATATTTGCAGAGTTGGAAAACTAAAAAAGAACGCTTAAATTTCTGTCATGGCTATGGTTTCATACTAGCTCCTATTTAAAATATTCCGGATTTAATTCAGAAGTATGTAATACTCCCACAATTAGTGTTTATTAAATTCATTAAATTAATTATAGCAACACGGTTCAGTAAGATAAATTCATACCATTTAGAGCCGACTCACTGAATTACATTAGACCTAAGAATTTTCAAATCATTTTAGGCATTTAATAAGCGTTGTGCCTAGATAACAGTTATATAAAAATGACAGAAATTACGGGATTAAAATTATAGTGAGCGATTACACCGACAAAATAATTAAACGATTCTTCATCTATCGGTACAGTACAATCCTTCATGAAACTATATATATACATTAAAGCCAGTGTTTGTTTATGTTATTTTGGACGAATGTTTTGTTTACTCACATTTGTCAAATATTTCTGACAACTGGTTTATTCGCGCCCCTACATAAAAAAATTGCTGCAGGAAAAAAGCACGAAACCTTTTTTTGGACAACAAGAATTCTATGTATTCATAATTATTAAGGGAATTTCCCAAAGAGCATTATATATATATATATCATATATTCATGTGCACTCAATCATAATTTATTATCCTCACTATGAGATAACTTGAAAGTTAAATAACAACTTATTAATAAAATTCAACCGAGTATAGGCATAGATTTTATGTACAATGGGATATGGTATTCACACATCAGGTTAAATTTATATGAAAACAATCAAAGGCTTTATGGACTGATGTCAGGTTTTGATTTAGACACCTCTTACTTTTTTCCAACCCAGTCGATTGTCGGATAGCATTGCTCGTTGGTAAAGACGGTGGCTCAGAATGCATGACACGCGTCCTAGCCAATATTACTTACCATATTATACCACAACACCAAGATATAACACAAACAATTATGATCAAAGACATTTTACCTGTTCATGTCCTCCTCTTTCAACGATCAAGATTCAAAACCAGAGAGAAAGATAGAGTGATCATCTGAGCAGGTTACACGTCCTTCGATGAATATTTGGATATCATGTCTACGCTGAAGATGACGCATGTTGGCAAATATCACACAAGCCATTTGTATTCATGTGGAGATTTCGTTGCCAACCAGTCCATGAGGTCTGATGCAACTTCTAAAATAAGAGAAGTGGTCAGTTTTTGACACAGCAGTTTTTCCGTAAAGCTGGTAATGACCAATACGTAATTCTATGCTGGACTATTATTTTTTCCTTCACGTTCCCAGTGGAACATAGGGCTTCAAGCCACTAGCTTGAAGTTTCTGCAGCAGTGTTTATTTTACAGGATGGAGTTGCTAGCCTCATACCCAACCTTTCCTCTTCACCAGCATTATTTCTAGCTTAGCGAGGTAAAGGAGTGCGTCAGTGGCCGGGGATCGAACCCCGGACCATGTACATGGTCGGCGAGCGTCCTAACCGCTATGCCACCGACGACCTTTCTGAACTATTACTGCAATATTTTAAGAATTAATCAGTGAATAATCAATAATAAACTACATTTATTTCAATGTTTTATTTTCAATTACTGCACATTTATCACATTCTAATTCAACACTTGGTTTAACACTCATGTAAATAACTTTTTTTCTCCAACAGACAATAGCAGGAGTTGTTATTCAGTACTTGATGAATGTCTTCATAACCCTATCTGTGTTCAACACTTCATCAATCTTCGATATGCATGTATAGAAATGAATAAAGAGTTCAGCGCTTGCAGAAATCCTACACAGTGTATAAATGCAATCAAAAGTTTTTATAGTGAATCTGATAACTTTGTAAATACCGCCATATCATGTACCTGTGAAAAAACTGATTCAGATTGTCAAAAAATTCGTGAAATATTTGTCCCTACATGTATTCGTCAGTCGTCTGAATTTCGTACTGACTGCTATCAAGCTTGGATACAATGCCAGAATAATGCAGTTTGCAGGTATGTTTTGTATGTAAAAGACTTTAGAATGGATAGTAAATTTTTCTCCTTATCCGATGAATTTCAACGTCATAATTAATACATTTGAATGTCTTGCTTTCGTAATTACGTTTAATGCACAGACTAGGATTGACGGTGGTCTGCTTGAATCACTGGGCTACCTAAATTTCCATCCAGCATAGTGCATCATGGTTTCTCTAATTATCATTGTTTTAACTATTCAGTTATATCCCTGAGTCCCAGAATGTTCACACTCACATTCTTAGTTGGCTTTCAAACTTCTCGAATACGAAAGGAAAACATCATTAGGGATTATTCTTTGCTTCGGATTGGACAGCATTGCATCCCAGAAGAGAAGAGAAAATAGTATGTAGTAAATACGCTGAAAATTCTGTACATTGTGCGAGCAGTTTTGGGCAGAAAAATGTTGTTACTAATACTATTACGAGTTTCTGTCACAAGCTACTGTGAAACAAAAAATTGAATTCAAGCTTCGAAATGGCTGATTTAATGTAGTTTTCAAATATATTTGTGTGACGTGGATGGTCAAGAGTTTTCCATTCTTTGAAAGATAGTAGCATTCGATTCAAATACTGACTGAACAACCTGAGCTTCAGGATTCCTCCCGAGTTATTTTTCCTGATGCAAACCAACAGTGCCTAACAACATAATGTCCTTCAGCTTTGTGAACAAACTTTGATAAAAAATTAATTAAATAAGCATGTGATGAATGGAATTTTTCTCACTGGAAGATGAAAAGACACTTACCAAGAGAAATTCCTTTTTATAAGATTTTAACTTTGTCATTCGTAAACAAATATTGCAAAGAGAGGGATACAGTTCTAATAATAATAAGATTTTACTATCATTTATTTCGTTGGCTTCTCATCAGTTGCTCGCAGCTTAAAGTAATTAATAACATATCTGGAAACTTTACATAATGACAGTTGACGGGTGGTTTCAAACCTAACAAACAGTGCTCAGATAGTTACACTTACACAGTTTATACTCAGAAAGTTAAAGTTTAAGCAAACATGCAGTGCTAAAGGGGCTATGTAATAGCAACAAGCAGTGAATAAGATGACGAGTAACTAAACACTTGAGTAACACAGTAGTGAGCTCAACTCAAATCATAGACACAGGAGACAAGCAAAGTTATACTATTTAGGAGGGGGAGAGGCTGAGATCAATGAATGCGTAACCAAATGAAACAGAGATTAAAGATATCCAGTGATCAGGTCAAGAAAAGACCAAATAATGCTTCCTTCTGAAAGCGTTTGTTGGGTTTCAGGCCTTAGATAGCGATTGCTTCGGCAAACTTGAGGAGAATTGAAATATTTTGTCTATTGATAGTTTTAAGGGATTTCGCGATATCCGCTTCATGACCCGTATTGATGAGATTTCTGGCGATGGTACTAGTGAAAGAGCTTGTTAACTCATGTAATGTAAACTCTGTGATACATGTCCAGAAAAATGAAGGTGTGCCCAACGTAAGTGCTACAGCTGATACAGCCAGATCTGTTCGCACAGTTAGAGCTAACATAAAACGGGTACCCGTCATTTTTGATCGCACCAGGGTGGTCGTTATCCGATAAATGGGGACCAAATTAGCTGCAGGATAGGTGGCACCTTGTTCTTCAGAAACCGTTGTTTTTGCTTTATTCAAAGCAAGAAAGATTAGATTTTCAGTATACAGGGACGCCGTCTTATTTCACAGCCTCTTATCAGCTGCAGATTACATGAATTTAAGATGGTCATCAAAGAATGAAAATGTTATAAATTATAAAATAAAGCACTTTAATTGAAAGCATCATAAGTTTTATGTCCCTATTATAATCAATTTAAGTGAGCTAAATTCACTGATTTTAGTAGTCACCCAATCAATGCAGTCAAAATCAAAATGCAGTTACCAAGGGAGTGAAAGACTGATCACTCCTTTCCCCTACCTCCTTTGTATGCATATGTTTAGTTGAAAACGTTTGATTACAATCGCTTCAATAAATAATAATAATAACTTTATTGTCATTTATACATTTATTATTTGGAGTGATTTGTAGCACCAGTCAATATTAACATATCAGAGTGTGATACCTGAAGAAGGTAATAAATGCAACTATTAAGGGGTAGAAATATTTGCGAAAGGTAGACAAGTAGATTACACAATGACTAAGTTTGGAAAAATAAGAGAAGCAAATGAGAAGCAGGGAGATGTGACTGCGTCATAAACAGTTGAAGACGAAGTAGGCAGTATGATAAGATAGAACAATAATAACTTGTAGATGAAACCTGACCTATGTGTCCAAAAGGAATCTGTCGTTGGACTCTAATACCCATTCCTTAAATAACTCTTGGTCTTCTAACTTCATTAAATTATCTTTTAAATGCCCACTCCTTCGACTCGTTTCTTCTGTCTGACTTCCATAAGATATTATTCTTCGTGACCTTATGAACTCTACTCACCATATTATATCATCACCTCATCTGACCTCTTGCACACCAAATTTTGATCTTCTCTTATCTAGCTATGTAACTGTTACTAATTTTTGTTACCACCCTAACAACAAACTTGTCAATTAATTTTCCAGAAACTTCTCTCTAACAAGATATACATATATATACTTACACTTCAGTTACCTTGTCGTCCTGATGTTTAACATCACCATAACATTCTTATAATATGCTTACTGATGACAAAAGTATGTTCAACTTTACACTGACTTTTATTTATTAAAAACTGTAGGTTACATGAAGCTGATGAGAACCGACGAAATAAAATGGATCCGTGCTATTCTGTATCAATGTTTGTTCTTCCTTTTCTCAAATTTATAAATGGGAATTCTTGTATGAAAAACTTGTAAATGGTTTAGGTTGAGAGGTGAACTGCCAGTGTTTTACCTCTGTGTAACGATAAGGAAAGTAGCTGTACGAATTTCTTCTGAACATACCGATTTAGGTTGGTCTGGTGAATTCCAATAGCACATAAAAGGGGAGAGGTTTCCCATGAGACCAGCAGCCTCACCTCGTGGAAATACTGTCACTGTTAGTGGAACTTCAGTGCTTGAAGCGGAAGTTTCCACTCAAGATGCAAAGAGTGAAAAACACACGAAGAGATTGGCAAATATATCTCAAAAATATTTGCTTTAGCACTGTTGTGTCAACCGAATTCGTTCTCCTGCATATTTTTAGATTATTATGTATGCACTTTATTAAATATTTATTCAAAAGAATGTTTATTCTTATTAATAATACATCAGCGAATAAATTTTAACTTTATACATTGCAGAACCAGTTATGATTTTTTGGTCTCCGAGTGTCAAAATCATCATGGACATTGTTCCTTGAATCCAGTTACATGTATAAATTCCTACAGGAGATTATGGACTGGATCCTGGGCTGGTGGATGCAAGTGTGAATTAGGTGAAAAGAAGGGTAGATTTTCAGATAATATATTATCAGGTTGCAGTGAATTCTCACAAATTCTAACAAGACCTCCATGTACTGGTAAGTGTTTTTATTACTTAGATACTTAAAATGGCTGATAAATCTTTGTGGGATTTATATTCAGATTTTCACAGTGAAAAATTAAGGAATATTATATGGGCTATAGTCGTATGCCTTATACACAGTGGTCAGTTAGATCCTATGCTTGATTAAATAGATGAGTGATACAACAACGTATTATAATGTTGCTTCACATGTATTAAAGACCTATAATAAGCGATATGTGATTGTTTCTTCATTCCCTAAATGAGTGTTACTCAGTCTTTGTTCCCTTAAAAACCTATCTTAGGAATAATATAAGCATATTCATATTCAAGACATTGATTTCTGAAATGCTTCAGGTGCTCAATAAACACTTGAATTACCATCAGCTGTCTATCATTTAAACAAATTTTAAAGCACTGTTCTGTTGTGATTTGATTGGTTTCAAGTTATACCACGAGAACCACTGGAAATCAGGGAGTATTTGTATTCCTCAAATTCACGCACCCACGACCTAACTAGGGATAAGTCCTAGGGTTCTCAGGCTACTATGTGAACTCGTTGACGGTTAGCCGCTGGAATGAAAGCCAACATCCCATCGGTTTTAATTCAATCAACTCGCAGGTGATAGGATCTCGGCCGGATACTTTCATTGGCGAATATTTATCTTCATATGCGACCTGTTGTACACCAGTGACTACTTTTTTGTGGCAGAACTCAAAACAACTTCATCCTGTAGTCAGTCATTTGGAAGAAGAAGTACTCACAGATGACTTTGGCTGAGGGGTGCATTGTAAAACGCGAACTGACAAATGTTAGACATTCTGGGTCATCTGTTTTCGTCTTTCGATGAATAGTCATGCCACGTAACTGGAAGATCCTGGGTTTGAACCCTAGAGCAGTAATGCGTACGTGCTGGTGTGAAGTCCCAAATCAGGACGAAACAGCTGCTCAGTACTCTTCCATTATTAACGGTCATCTAGCTGGTGTCAATCTATAATAAAAATTGAAAGCAAATTTTAATCGATATTTATATAACACGTTTCAGATCATAATGTGGGATTGGTTCAAGAAGTAACAAATCCTTTGGCAAAAGAAGAACCATGTAAGTCAGAGGTTGTTATTTTATATTTGAAATTGGATTGAAGTTTTTTGAATACGTTGATGAAGTACAGGAAGGAGAATGTGTCATTCAGAAGAATTTTACCTGATTCAGCAATGAATTAAGCTTGGTTTTCATTTGAATATTGCAGACGGTAACTAACTGAGTGATAACATATATATGAGGCGCTAAGAATAAATCCCGCGTGTATTTACGATATTTTAACAGTATACTGCAATAAAGCAATATAGTTATTTTACTAGAGCGTTAAATTGTTAACATAAATTATGTTAGACAGAAAGAAATCCACGCTGATCTGTTCAATTTGTGTTTATATACTTCACTCTGAATTTGTTATAAATTACGATGATAATGTATACAACACTAGAGTAAAATATAATATAAGCCTCTATTTAGAAAGCTATACGCACTTTAATATCTGCCAATAAAACGTTCAAATATATAATAAATGGTTCATTTTTGTATATAATTATAAAAAGCACTTAAAACCTTCTATTATCCATTTTTTAATATCCCATTGCTTTTTACTATACATGTGGAAGTTTTCTCCTCTATAACTGAGATTGTAACAAGTAGAGAAAAAGTTTTCATAAACAGTAGCGATAATTCATAAACGCATAAGATGTCTGAATTAAAATGTAAGCAAAATAAGAACCAAATCGACTTGTTAGTTAGCATGATATAATCCAGATGGGAAGAAAATGTGTAACACATATGGATGATATTAGTGTAGTTCCGTTCTTTGAACTGGATGGTTTTGGTAACGCAATTTTAATTGTCTTTCTGAATAAAATCTTCAGCGTATACCTCAGTTTGAAGTAATGTGATTCGATGTGCGTCATGTTTAGTTAGAATTTTCATCTGTTAAGGGCCGACTGTATAAAAAGGGTTAAAAACAAATTTGGTGTGGATTTGATTTGAATTTGTATCCGGTGATCGAAATTTCTCCCATTTGAGTATTCTTCTCATTTCCGATTAAATAATGACCAGTGATATCAAAAGAGTTTGTAACCCGGATAGATCGCATCTAACTAAAAATAAGGTAGATATTACAATATAATAAGCTATTTTGAGTCTTATATATGTATATATATATACATGCATCTTGATTATCAGAATCGTACTATTTGTGATGTCTACATGTAACTTTTACTCTGGTGACTGGAAATTTGTTAAAAACTAGCTGCTTAGGTAGATGTTTTATTTCAATGCAAAAAGTATCGGTCTATATTCGATCACATTCGATTATAACAATAACGAATCTGTAAACATATTTCCTGTTAGACTAAAAACTCAAAAGTCAGATAAAGGGTCACGAGCCTTGCTTCTGAAGCTTAATTAACTGTTTTTCTCTTTGAATGTATAATTTGAATACAGCCAAAAGTTTCTACATACATTTATCATCTGTGACAACAAATGTAACCGAAATAATGTCCTTCAAGTTTTTAATAGCTGCCACCCAGCCATCAAATTTACAATTGAAGCGAATACTGGAGAGACAATCTCATTTGTGCACATCCGAATAACAAAGAAGATTGACAGGACTCTGAAGAGATCAGTACACTGGAAGCCTACGTGGAACGGCTAGCTCATAGACTTTTACAGTTGGGTACCCTTAAATCGCAAGCGGAACCTGATAATCTCTGGCGACTAGAATCCGTAGAATCTGCAGCCCCGAATCAGTAGAAGAAGAGTTCACGCTTTTGAGGAAGGCACTACTTCAGAATGGCTACCCACCAGGCCTTATAGATAAACACATACAACCGAAAACCAACGAAGAACAACCCATCTCTGTGCTGAAAAAGATGCTATACATAAATGTGGCGTTCAAAGACTACCTGCTGGTCAACATCCTAAACAGAAAGTATCTAGCTGAAAGAACACTTTTCTGCTGCTACATTACTATTGGTATTCTCAAGCTTCCCATTGTTCTTCAACAACTTCAAAGATAAACTTTCTCATTTGACCACTTCTATGTATATCTATCAATTTATTTGCTCATATGCAGCGAGATATATAGGTCGTTGGACACGTATTTAATCTAAAAGAGTCAAAGAACATTATCCCGCTTGGCTACGAGAAGGTAACAGTGGATCAATAAGGAGTACTATAATTGAACATATATTCAACACTGATCACTCAGTATGTAAGGATAATTCATTCAAAGTCATCTAAAAGTTAAAAGAAGCCCTCCGAAAACATTAAGCTTCCGTATACCTTGCAGTGTCGAGGCCTTAGTGATCTGGATAGAAAACCCTGATTTATGCACACAGAAGAAACTTCTCCACCCCCTCCTTATACCTAGGGTATAATACCAAGTTCTAATATTTTGTTAATAATGCTTTCTTCTTTTTCTGAGTGTTTGTATGACCTATTAGTAACACCTTTTTCTCAACCAACCCTTTATTTACTCTTTCTACCTATTACATAACTTATTTTGAACATGTGTCCCCATGCTTTTTCACCAGCAACCTATTTTTCTGGGTGTCTTTCATATTACGCAACCCTTGTCAATACTTACCAATCTTCACCTGCCTGGTTACAGTTTGATTATTCACCACATTTTTGAAACATTTTGATGACGTAAGCAATAACCCTAACTAATTTTTACTTTTGTATGACAATCCTATTGTACACAAACACACTAAATAATCATAAAGAAATACCACTGTACAGTTTAGTAAATGAATTCGCCGAAAAGAGACTCTTTGGTGAACCTTTTGTTCTTATATTCATGTCTGGATTGGTTATGTTCCTACATACGTCGATATTTTCAATAACTTCTTCTTGTGGGAGTTACAAGTATAATTTAGGAATGTGAGTAAGTAATATAAGTGGTTATTCAAAATTTTTTAATGCACAAATGCATAGGAAAACAGTGATGTGATATGTAACACTGAGATTCCTTGTTATTGCCTAAATTTTCACTGTTTTCTTAAACTATACATTTTTTTTCAGTGTCTTGTATTGTAATGGACAGACTAAAAACCAATGCAGGTGATCTCCTCAAACTTCCAATGTTGAATGCGCATCCAGAGAACAAACATCTGAATAGAGATTGTTCTTTACTGTGTAGTTGTCGTTTTGGTTGTCGATATGAAATGTGTTATGCAAAAGAGACTAACAAATGGCATGCATATTATTTATCCAATCACACTGGCAATAACATAACACTACCAACACGCATAGAAACTATTAATATTTACAGACCAAATTTATCACTGGCTTGTATTTATCTTCCAAAATTGAATCACCACTGTCAGTGTCATTCAAATAATCAGGTTGTATGTAATGTGTTCAACCAACCAAACCACTATGCAATCACAGGTATGTTTTGTTTTAACATTTACATTTGGTCATTCCTCTTTTATTTTTCTTGATACCCCTTTTTGACAGTAATCAGACCGGCTTCAAGCAAGACCATGGATTACCATCAGTAACGGAACCATTGAAATCTAAGTAGCACTAGGCAGCTGTTTCATTCGAATCTGGAACTCTTCAGATGTACTCACCTTTGACCCGACCTAGGATCGAACAAAGGACCTTCGTGTTGTAAGGAGAGCCTCTAAACTATTCGGATATTGAAATGGGGTCCGATTTCCCATGAATTCTAACTTGTACTTTTTCGCAGTTTATATCTCCCCCACCACCCAATGTTGTTGACGAGTATTTTTCTTCACTGGCCTCGCAAGCCAACAGCTGAAAATTAATCTAGCGCTCACTAGTAGTAGACTACAGGAGGAATTTTCCTTGAGTTCTAGAGAGAAGTCGTGACGGGTGGGGTCCACCAGGTAGGGTGTGACGACGCATACCCACCGTTGAGGTTGGTTGCCTGAGGCGCTACCAGTCGCGAAGTGACAGAAGTTAGGATCCATGGGCCATTACTTTTCGTCCTAATGGCTTAATGGTCAACGTTATCGCCACAAAAATCGAAGACCGTGGGTTCGATTGTTGAGTGCTTACTGATGAAGATTCCGAAACCATAATGAAAGAGCTATCTGATACTTCCTGGTTTTCGAAGATTCTTTAACTGAGATCAGATCATGATGCAGTCTGAAAATATGCATCATTTAAAGGAAGACCTTTTAGATTTAAAACAATTTTGCATATATATATAAAGGAAGCAGAGAATGATATAATAACCGTTAAATAGAATCTGTATATGTGACTCAAATCTACTCACAAAAAGAGGAAATTATTCAGACAGTATGAATCATTATTATGAAGCAAAGCGTGGTACAAATATTAATTTTTTTAAATCAGTGACCTACCAGAAATTTCCTATCCAAACTGGATTGATTTTATGACTGCTAACGTGCTCACCAACAACTGAATTGAATTTCCTAACTAAAATTGCCTTACTCGGTGAGAATTTTTAATTGAATAAAGCAATAAAATGAACCTTCTTAGGATGAGATGAATTCATTTTACTACAGAGAGTTTTCAGAATAACGAATACAAAGGCAACGAATGTGAAATCATTTAGATTAGGTGTAAATGAATGCCTGGTTTGTTAAGTGTAAAATTAAGTGACGAAAATGCAGACGAGGTGGAAATTGTATAGGAAGTGAGAATAATCAATTATGACCAAAATAAAGACACTGTGAGGAGAAGAATCTTCTAGAACTTAGGGGTAATTCACACATAAAGACAGATGGTTGCCTAATCTCGTGATAGATTATTCAAAAAAGAATGAACGAGTTTTTTAGATTCACATGCATGCGTGATGGCATGAAGAGAGAAGATATGGTTGCCCATGAGAACAATTCAACCTTTGCTCAAAAATCAACGTGTTAAATGATTAACTTCCTTTAACTGTTCTGTAATTCAGTACGTGGCCAATATGAGACACCTGATCAATTCATCAAAATGTTTTGAGTTAGTGTGCACTTCAGCAGTACTTCAAAACGCTGAATGTACTGCCTTCGGAAGACTTAAGTCTGAATTATGCTTCCAAAAGGTGGTAATTACTTGCTTATTATTACCTCAATAAACTCAGACTCTTTCACTTTAACTAACTGGTTTGTAGGGATATGATTGGTTACAGGATTTCATTATGAGCTGATATTGGTTAGAGAATCATTGAAAACCTGGGAGCACTAAAAAGCTGTTTTGTTCTAGTTTGGTACTCTTCACAATAGGCACCCACCTGAAGCGTTCAAGATCAGGACCTTCCGGTTACAAAGTGACTTCGTAGACCATTAAGCCACTGGAAGGTGATCCAATGACCAGTGCAAGAATTCCCACTGCTGCCAGTTCATAATATAGCTCATTTTTATACTGGTTTTCATCTGTCTTCATGTTATTTTTTACCAGCATTTTTGTAACCTGTGACCTCAATCATTCTGTTTGAACAATCTGTCACCTGACCACGTAACCATCTGATTTTATATGTGAACTACACTTGAATCCTAGACCATCCTTCTCTTTATAATGTCTGTGTTTCAGTTATAATTGATTATTCTAACTTCATTATGAGCTGACATCAGTTAGAGAACCACTGGAAAACCTGGGAGTACTGAACAGCCAGCTGTTTCGTCCTAGTTTGGGACTCTTCATCAGTACGCACCCACCGGGGTTCAAACCCAGGACCTTCCGGTTACAAGGCGAGCTTGTAGACCTGGGACCTTATCCAGTGGTCCTTGAATTTTAACTTCTGCCAATTCACGACATAGCGCGACCATTTCGCAATGTCTTCTTCGATGAGTTACTGCCTCATCTTCAACCTGCTGTACCCTACTGGTCACCGCTTCCCACTAGAACCCCAGGTTAGCTGCCTAAATAGGGCCATTCAGTAGTGGGCATCAGATTAATTTTCAAGTAGGACGAAATAGCTGTCCAGTACTCCCAGGTTTCCCGGTGGTTCTCTAACTGATGTTAGCTCATGATGAAATCCTCCAAGCAATCAAACAAAAATCCTTACAAAACCAGTACTTGAATATTCTAACTTCCTATATATGATTTATACCTCGTCTCTGTTTTCCCTATTTTATTCTCCTCTTAAGAATGGACCGTCTACTGAGTGAAACAAGTTGATTGCTTTTGTATTTCATGATTTAGGTTGTATGCTCCAGCTTCTGAAAACTCTGTGGAATAAAATGAATTCATCTCATCCTACGAAAGTTCTTATGGGCTTTGTTTAAATTTATCAAGGAAAATAATTGTGTGAAAGATTCATTTGCTTTGCTGATTGAAGTCACAGAGACAGTCGTTATTTGTCTAGTTGTTTTCGCATATTGTAACCTTCTCCCGATTCACTCAACCGTATCAACTATAATTTTAGATACCGAACTATATATATTTTGAGTAGGCTATTTCTATGTTATCAACATATATATATATCAATCATAAAATAAAACTTTGATTGATTCATTGAAACAGTTGAAAGACAAAGCGATATATCATTATTGTTATTCATCTGTCTAAAGCATGACATACAATCGAAGAACACATATTCCAGAAAGTGTTGTGTTTTTCCAACAATTGTTTTTCCGCCATCACTCTGTGATTCATTGGATTTCCGTTTATCAAAGTTTACCTACCCATGAATAGCTAATTGATTAGACTCTGAAGGTAGTTAGGCTTACATCACACACAACATATGCATATATCTAAACTCAGTGAAGCAGAATCAAGGGTGTGCTTTATGTATGTTTTTTTAAGTTACATTCACGAACCTTAAGCGAGGAAGACTTAAGTGAGTTATTTATCTATGGATTTGTTTACTTCTTTGTGTCCTAAAATATCCATACAGTCACATTGTTAGTAAAATGAATAAACACACAGACAATGTTATCAGATCATTAGGTATTATCAAACGTTGAGGATTTATATATTCACAGTTAGAATATGTCTCACAGTTAGATTTAAGTAATCAAAAGTCATTAAATTAAGCCAATTAATTACTTCTATAAGAACTCTTCAAATGCACTCAAATCTGACGATAAATAAAAATCACTGTATTATTATAAATCTGTTAAACATGGAATTCGTGCAATACATCTAAACATCCTTATCACCTCCGTATTTTTCTTTGTTCATCTGGAGTCCTATCTTTGCTGCATGCCACTTCTGCCAGTTTGCTGTCTTTTGCCTGTAAGTCTTCGAGTTTGTGTGACATTAGACATAAGTCATCCACACGCGAAATCCAGATCTTCTAGATCCTTCTAATCGCTCGTCCAGAGTATTCCTGTCTGCTGGCTCTCCACACACAGCCTGATGCATAATTCAGTTCACCGCAATTAGGAGTATCGTCGGTGATAATAGGCAGCTAGCCTTGTCTTACTCCTGTATTCACTTTGAACGCCTCACTGAGTTTTCCGTTGTGGATCAGCTGACACGTGGTATTGTCATATATCCAACTGTTGAATGAGTTTGATGAAGACTTGGGCACTGTACGTCTGATGTAGTTCCCAAATTACTTCTCATCACGCTTTGTCAAAGCCTTTTCGAAGTCAATGAAGTTGAGGTAGAGATTTGACTGCCATTCTATGCTTTGTTCTGTGATGACGATGCATGTGGTTGCAATTTGATCAGCATATGATTTGATACTCCTGAATTCAGCTTGTTCCCTCGGTTCTGTCCAGAAAACAGGACTTCAATAGCACCTCTCCATTTCGTCCTACTCTCTGCAGTCATATTTAGATGGCTTCATAACTGCCCATAAGCTCTCATCAGCAACTCACATAATCTTCTTTATATCAACTTTAGATGCCTAAGTCATTGTTTCCCACTTGGGCTCTTCTCGAGAGCCTTCTTTGCAAGTGATGTCACTCAGCGGTCTCCTCGACACCTGTCCGATCCACCACTGAAAGTAAATATTTACTAAACATTATTCCCTTTAGTAATATTTTTAATTGTATATCCGCCTATCCGAGATTTTTCAAAATGTATCCTTCACTTGGTTTCTAACATCACAGACAAATAAATTTTTTCCTAAAATAAATTAAGAGGATTAGATATTGGATACTGTCGTTTGAAAAATAATATATCCCATGGGTCTTCTAATGATCACCATACTAATTGAAGTATAAAATTATCTCAACCAATTATATAATTAGTTAATCTGACCATGTGATAATGAATGTACAATAGAGTGATGAGAAAAGTATCTAGTGACAGTTGGTCTGTTTCAAAAAGATTCAAACAAAGATTAAAATAATGTTGGTATACTTCGATGGTAATTTAAATAAACATTAAACGAAGCATAATTTTTTCTGTTTCCTGAAGCATCAATCTCCATATTTTTTTTGTTTTAATCTCTTTTTGTACAAATAGGTCACAAATTGCAGATAGACTTCGACGTTGAAATGTATTCTACAATTATCGATTTGATGGCTGACGAAAAGTCTTTATCAGAGTTTGAATTTTACGGGAGTATAGTTCAACTAGAATTGCTTTTAACCAACTTCATTACATATTTTACAGGACAGACAACTTGTCGTCTAATATTGTCTGCATATCAAACAGTAAATGGTAGGAACCTTTGGCTAAAATATAGATCTGGTGATGAGAGATCCTCAGAATTTATAACGCGATTGGAATATTCTTTAGTGATTAATTCAGATCACTATATTGATAAAAGAAATTATACATCGGTATGTACCGCTTGCAATTTTCATGTGATGTTTTATTTTTATTTTTGAAAATTTAAAATATGCTTATACTTCTTACAAGACATTCTTTGGAAGAATGAACCTGTTAAAGAGGATTATATTTTTACTGTTAAGCTGTCTGCGGATAAAAATGGCCCTTATCGTTTGTTACAAGAAGCGCACTCAAAGTAATTCTTTGAGTAAGGAAACAGCTTTAGAAACTTCATTATATAGACGAAAATTTTCAAGTGTCAGTTTGCAAGAATTTGATTGGCCACAGTTTTGTTCACCAGCTGATGTCACTTAGAGAACTACTGGTAAACTAGAAGGTACTAGATGGCTAAATCTTCCCAGGCTGGGACCCTTCGGCAGAAGTCGCTGATGACATTACCTGGCGGTCACACTATATATTGTCATTCCGCAGAAGTTGAGATCCATTGTCCACTAAATGAAGTCTCAGCTGCTGAATGGTCTAGGAGCTTGCCTGACAACTAGAAGGTCTCTGGGGCAAACCCCAGGTGACTGCATACTATTGAATATGGAAACAGCTGTTGATTAGTACCTGCTTCTCCAATGGTTCGCTAACTGATGTCACTTTGTGATCAGACCTGTAACATGCAAAAATGTATTGCATAATACAGTAGTCATAAAATGCTTTTGGAGTGAAATTGTGTTACCAACCAACTCTCATTTTACAAAGAAGCTGTCGAATGTCTTTAACCTTACAGCAATTATTACTAAGTAAGTAGATTCACTGGCATATGCATCAGTAACTGGACTTAATAAACGCACAAAATAACTGTAGGGAAACTCCAATCAGAATCACACATCCCTTATCAGCTAGCAAATGGCTAGTATAAGTCAATTATTTCTTATAATGAGTAATACTCAAACAACTGCGGTCTATCATAAATTTGATATGGGTGCTATGCAAGTACTAATCCCAGTTAGTCATTAGAGTGTAGATTTATACATTTAAACTGTAGCTTATTACAAAAAGAATATTAAATGTATTGGTGTATTGGTGGGTATTATTTGTGAATTTCAATAGTGAATTATCCTAATGTCTGTGAGTACCATTGAAAATCAGTGTATACGCCTTCCTTATTTACCAATATATTAGTCAATCAATATTGAATAATAAATAACTACTTGTGTGGTTTTTGAGTAATTGTCTAATGAGATGTTTGAGTAAAGCACAAGTATCAAGAAGCTTCGTAGTCTGTTTTGTATAAAGTTCATTATGGTTGTAGAAAATTGTTTTTAATGACCGCCTTACAGCAGTAAGACCAACTACTTCTTTCTGGTAAGCATTGAGCTAGTTGTATTGGTGACTCAGTTGAATCGGTCCCTTTGTAGTTAAGAATTTAGGATTTCTTCGCTATATATCCAAAAATTCACCAATGGTGGGCTTACAGTATCTAAGCAGTCCTTTTAACCCTTTAAAATTATAAAATCTACCAGGTTATGCCTATTTTGGTTCACAATTATCTATCAGCAACGCATTTCGACCGGTATGTTAAGTAATATGCGTTAAACAAATAAATGACTACATACGTTCACCTGGTGTTCAGTGACACATATCTATCTATCACTAAGATGCCTAAGTCATTCAAAACTTCCAAAATACGAAAGTATTTCTTAATTCAATTCCCCATAAACAACCTGGTAAGGCCGAAGTTAGGTGGACTTCGGTCTTCCTCCTGAAGTACTTTCATGTGACCACGCGTTCATAGCCTCTGCCAGGTGAGTCCTATTCACTGCCTTCACGCAGCAAGGGTATTCCCCACAAAATATAAAGAGTGAATGCTAACATCTGGAGCTTATAAGCAAACTAATGGACATACTAGTAAACCGAGAGGAGCTGAAAGACCCTGATTCCAAGCCCATGGTATGCATAGGCTCCAAAATACAAAAGGATTGAATGACGTATGAATCTGACTTGGTCACAGGTAACCATGAGAACGTAGTTTCTGATGCTATCTTACTTTCTTTGTGGATCATACTTCAAGTCAAAGTCTTCGGGGATGGCCACTTGAAACAATCACCTGCTTCGATTTGGGTAGTATATCAGCCATTACACAAACTATGATACGTCCTTAATGTGCCAAGTTTGTGATTTTATGATAATAACAGAGCTATTCATAGCTTGGTTAACATTCTAGAAAGTTGTCGTTCTTGGTCACTTTAAGCTATGTGAGCGATTATGATATATTTTCTAATTTGAGCTTACTGCTTTATCTTGTGAAAAATTTTCAAATGTTTCAATTTATTTAGAATCCATAGGTGTTCTCTTTTAACACTTATTATTTATTGCTTTCAAATTACAAAAATGCAAAGTATTTCTCTCATTTTTTCCTATCATCTAGTTCTGCATCAACATTCTAGAGATTGTAAATATAATGATCAACGACGAATATCCGCATATTAAATACAATCCAAAATTTTCTACATTTTTAAAAAGTGTTCTAAAGGCGCCAATATTCAATGAATACAATAATCTAAATAAAAATGATGACTCTCTGAGTAAATCACAAAAATCACAGCGTCATCAACAGCAGCAGCAACAACACCAACAAACGCAAGGATGGCGACATACACGGACATCTATTCAACTACAAAGGAATAATAATAATAAGTCAGTGAAGAATAGTTGTCACTCAAAACCCTATCTGAATATTGTTCATTATTTAATTTCTTTCTTGTTTTCTTATTTTTATTTTTTCTACTTTCAATATAACTGCATTAATTTATTTTCCTGTAGATTTCCTTTGCCTATTATTTGCGCCTTTGTATGATTTTTTTGTTTTAAATAATACACACGACTGGTACAATGTTCCAATGTATATATATGTTTGAAATTATCAACCGTTTTATAAAAGCGTTACATTTTTCCAAATGAATGTATATGTACATATATATATATATATCTGCTATCATGTGCAATATCGTCTGTTTGCTTGTCCTCTGTCTTTGAATTGTTCATTCTCTAATTGTTTATAGATGTAAAAGTCTTCTGCATAACTGATGTGCATTCCATTCATCAAGATCATTCATAGTCGATACAGTTCGAATCCGTGATTTCATTATGCTTTTGTGATACAACAGATATTCGCTTATATACACATATCTCTTTAGCCAAAATCTTGTTTGTGTATGTTCAAAAAGACAAACAGTCTAATACATGTATATTTCAGTTTGTTCATTTAACAGGAAAGTGAAGAAATTAACTTTGGCAGATAATTCAGAAAGTGTCTATTAATAAAATTACGTTCCTTACTTTCTTTTGTGATGCCTATTTCACTAGGAATCTGTGACCCTGATTAATTCATTCCTCTTTTCCATTTTTCTTGATGAACGAGCAACCCTTCAGTTGATACTGTCTGTTTTGAGGATTACAGATCATGAGGCGTATTCTTATCATAAAACAAAAGTGTTACAATTTGAAAGGTATTCCATGTTAACTAAACAACACTCTGTGAAAGAGAAACATCCTTTCTAGAAAATTTGTTTTTTTTTAATTTTCTTCTACCTCAACCTTTTTATCCCAAGAAATAAATGTAACCTACCGGTAGACTCATAATTTCGTGTGTAAATGTTTGTCTTGTGCTGTGATGTAACATTTTGAACAAAATATACATGTTAATACCTGGAGGATTGCGTTTATATTATGTTACTGTTTAAATTGCTTTCCTTTCAGCTTGTTTAATGATTCTAGTGAGTTTTGGGGGCGTTCCTAACAATGAAGAGTTTAGACTGGACATGATGACGTAGATGTTATTTTTTCTCAAAACAATTTCTCATGTTTCAAAATATGTGGTGGTAGCGTTAAAGGAAAGTGAGGGGAAAACAATCTCAGCTGTTGAACTTAGTGAGAAATCTAATTTCCATGATTCTTTTAAAATTCCTAACCTTGTGGTGAATGACATACGTAGCAATACGCATTCAGGTGTTTCAACAATTGATGTTCAAATCATCCAACTGCTACAGCTGCTTATTTTAAACGCTCATCACTTAAACTATGTGTAAACTGAACTTAGTGAAATTTCTCAGTCACCTCGTTCGACAATTCTTTTAAAACGCATTTATTCAGGATAAACAAATTGAGTAGTTGTTTCAAGTTAACTTTCCGCTGTGAAATTGAGTCGGACACAAAAAGATCTCTGAGGTTATTCAAAAGGGTCCTGTATTTTAACTGATAAAAAATGCCCATTAAAAATATTTTCAAAAGAATGGTTATTAAACAAAGAATATTCTTTTCGATAATGACTTCATCATCAGGGTCTAGAGTTATATATACACATAATAGTCAGTGAATCGGTGTTATTAACAACACTTTACGTTGTTTAAATAACATCGAATCAATAATAATGGTAATATCAATGGATTACAGTTCGATAGCATCATCATAACAATACACATTGAGTATCAGAACGAAACCGCTAAACTTGATGAGAGGTGACTTCCTTCGAATTTCTCCCGTTGATAATGATTGATGTTCCTTGATGTAAACGAATATCTTCACCACCTTTGTCTTGTGTATGTTCACTTGAAGTGCCCTCGTTACTTCTTTTATTGACTTGTTGGTTTTTGCCTTTAGATTTTCACGTTTGCATGATATTAGACATAAATCATCTGTGAAATTCAGATTTTCCAGAGCCTTCTTATCAGTTAGACGTAGGTCAATTGTCTCGCTCCCCAAGATCTACTGCATGCTATGGTCCATCACAATCATAAATATCATAGATAATAGTAGACAGACTTGTATTAATCCTGCCTTCACTTATAAGGCCTTGCTGAGCCTTTTAAAATGAATCACTTGGCGTTCAGCATCGTCATGTAATTGAACCCTATAAGGTAAGCACTAAGTCATCGGCGTTAGCTATATGAGACGAATTGGTGTCTCATGATTACGTTGGTTAACTACTTTGTTATGTGCACCATAATAATGTTCTAACCATCTTTGTTGATTTTATGTTGCAAATAATTACGATCAGTGTGGTATCACGGCTATGCACACTTATGACTTCATTATTATACTTATGCGAATAATACTCTATCCGTATAGACCGACTATGGTGTATTTCGAGTATTGGTTTTGCAGGGATTCTGTTTGATTGCATGGGTTCGAATCCCGGTGGGTGTGTACTGTAAAAAGTCCCAAACTAGGACGAAACAGCTGGCTGTCCAGTACTCCCAGTTGGTTTTCCAGTGGTTCTCCAACTGATGTCATCTCATGATGAAATCCTCCTTATAGTATATTTCTCTGCATTAATTTCTTAAATAATTAACAGTAAAATACTGTTTATAAATATATATATATATCACAATTATTTCATACAATTTCAATGTCAATATGTCTGTATACAAATAAACTATGAAAAAAAAGATTGTATGATAAACAACTATTGGATTGAATAAAATTCATTTGACTGAAAAATGAATAATGAGAAATTAAAATGGAATGAAAATGTATTGATCGATTCATTTTCTATTGAAATTCAACTGCTTTCTACTTGATTTCATTTTCTACAAAATAATCTGACTGCCTAATTAAAATCAGGCCATAAATGCTTACAGTTTAATAATTGAAATTTAAATGAGTGCAAGCTTGAGGATAGGATAGATTAAGCCAGTGGGTTAGTCAGTATAAATCTTGTTGAAATAAGAAGCAGTAATGCACCAGAATAAGAAGTGATGTGAAAATACCTCCATGTAAGATTGTAAAATCAAACGAACAGAAGAAGGTAAACTGCACACCAGTGTTTATGAAAAACCAACGCATTCTGCTAATAGATATTTCGACTTTAATTCATCTCATCCGTTGTCTGTAAAGGCTGGCTTAGTTAAGTGTCTAACAAACCGAGCAATAGCAACAAGTAGCACAAAAAAGATCTAAATGATGAAATGAAACATATAGAAGAGGCGTTGGTGTTGAATAACTATCCTATAAAATTCATTAGGAATATCAGAAAAGGTCAAAAGCAAAATAAAAATAATAGTGAAACTAACAATGATAACATAAATAAGAGAGAATATAAGGGATCTACTGTTATACCATATAAAGAGGGGACATCTGAGGTCCTACGTAGGATTCTCAATAAAGCAGGAATCAGAGTGGCATTCAAACCTACAAACTCACTCAGAGATAAGCTCTGTAGGTTAAAAGGTTGACCCAATTAGACAAAATGATATAATTTACAAAATACCTTGCAATGACTGTGAGTGAGGTCAATTACATAGGTGAAAACTAGTAGGTCGGGGATAGTCAGATTGTTGGAACATAAGAATTTAGCTAAGGTAAGAATGGTTGACCCCGAGAAGATAAGTAATTTAGAAGAAAGCTCAGCAATTGCACTACATGCATCAACAGACAATCACACAATAGGCGAGTGGGAGAGGGTTTAAATTCTAAGAAGTAATATAAGTAGGTGGAGAGAGATATTGATTACCGAATCGTGGTTCATCCAGTCTACACCCAACAAACGCGACAGAAATGACTCATTGCAAATACCAGAGATATGGAAGATATCATTACCACCAGTCAAATCACAGGAGGATAATAAATAATCTTAAAGTTCTATTTCAATTCACTTACATCATAACATCCTAACAAGTAACTTATTTTGACTATAAAAACACACGTCTTGTTTCTCATTTGATTGTACTTGATTGATAACACTCATATTATTTCTGAATGGTCATTATGCTGTATTGATATTTATTCAAATGTCTAGTCAATTTCACTCATTTATATAAGTGAAGTAAGGAGTTGTGTGAGTTACTTGATATGATTATGAGCGGCAATTGTTTGTGCTCGAAACTTGGTCATCAGTAAATATTACTGTATGGTATGATTTTCCTATAGATCATCTGTGTAGTGACAGTTTATGTCATGTTTGCAGTGGTTTTTAGTGTATTTTTCAAAAATTATGTGACTTTTTTGTATCTGAATTCTGATTGCTTGTCCAAAGTCACTTTGGTTTCAACCATGATAGTTTAATTTATTTAATTCAATTTTAGATTTTTCCGTCGATTGAGTGGACCGAAGTGCTCGGTCTCAGGTTGACATGTCGGCTTCTTGAGCAGATGCTTCGACGATGTCTGGGCATTTAATTGGTATTTAATTGGTGGATGGTGACTAGCAGTGAAATCCAGGGTGTGCATTTCGTCCAATTTGTGACTCATTATCTGAATGTACCTGATTAAGAGGTGGCTGTCGTGGCCCAAGTGTTCTAATGGATAACGCTTTGATGTTTGAAACTGTGGGTACTGGGTTCGAGCCTCAGTGGGAACATCATCATTCACTAGGGAATGCAGGTACATGCATATGATAAGTCCCCAATAGGACGAAAAACACATCTTGGATTCCACTGCTAGTCGCTATCCACCAATTAACTTATGATAGTTTAAATTTGGTACTTATAAAAAGTCAAAATGATTATGATCTACTGAAATACTCACTGAAAAGGAACACTAGTATCTTTTAATTCTAAAAGTTAACTATTCTCAAGTTAGTGACTGAAAATCAAGTTTGTATCTATATGCATGAATAATTTAAACAGCTATCTATTATGACTGAGAGGTTTCTAAAATATGTTTTCTCCGCGCGAATACTGAAAACCACTTAAGAAGAAATATAAAAATATCTTCGAATTATATTTCATCAGTGTTAAGCGCACCAGATAAACAGATGAGTTCGAATATTAAAACCAAATTATTTTAACATTGCAGTTCGTTTGCTTGACCCTGAGCTGCTGTCATTTATGGTGAACACTGAATTTTTTGTTTGTTCGAACTGGTCTCCATTTGACTAGACACAAGAAGGCTTTCATCACCTAACTGTGTATTGGTTTGCAGAAGATTGGAGAAATACGATTTGAAGTATTGTCGTATGTTTGCAGAAAGTCTTACTATGTATGTACATATATTCTACTTGATTCACGGATAATATATGGCTGTGTTTAGTCACTTGATTATTGTACACTACGAATTTTGTACCTAAACTTCATAACTGTAAGACAATATTATAAAAGTAGTTTGCACTATTGATTTAATTTCATTAGCACAACAGATTCTATTGCATAGTAATATGGTTTTTAAATTGTGAGAATACGACTTTTGACTGTGTTACCCAGGGAAGTTTAACATTCTACACAACAGAACACATCAGTTGTTTTCTTGCGTTCAGAATGAAATAATTTTAATAATAGTAGTACTGTAACAACAGAAGACAAGGATCAGGCAACAGATCGTTTATTA